TTGCTCATGCGCTTCAAGAGAACCGGCTAGCTCATCAATGGTGAGCGTAGCTAGATCTTTGGATTCTTCTATAGCACATACCATGTTCTCAAAGCTGTCGGTCAAAGATCTCAAGATCTTCTCCACCACTCTGGTGTCCGCTACATCTTCTCCATTTCGTTTCAATTGATTAACAATGGTTTGAACACGAGTAATGAACTCGGATACTCCTTCTGTGTCCTTCATCTTCATTCCTTCCAACTCGGCACGAAGGGTTTGAAGCCGAACTTGCTTAACTCGGTTGGCTCCTCTATAGACATTTGCCAGAATGTCCCACGCTTCCTTTGAGGTCTCCGCATTCGCTATCTTTTCAAAGCCGGACTCGTCTACAGCTCGAAAGAGCATGAACAACGCTGCCTTGTCCTTTGCACGTGTCTCTTTCAACGTTCTAGTTTGGGCCGCCGTGTATCCTGCGGTGGTCGCTGGTTCTGCAAAGCCTTCCTGGACGACCTCCCAAGCTTCCTGGGAACCGAGAAGAGCCTTCATCTGGATACTCCAATTCTCGTAATTCCCTTTTGTCAATTTAGGCAACGCCATATTACTTACACTTTCCATAGCTTTGATACCAATTTGTAGGATCGCTCAAATACAAAATCAACAAATAAAACAACTATTCAAGAATGTCGTGAGGACTTGTGGAGAAAGAGAACAAACTTCTGTAAAATATTTTACTAAACTTCGTTGCTTCTCAATTCTATGTTTCTCAAACAATATACTAGACTATTTATAGGCTATAGTTTTCCTTTATAAAACTGCAACACTAAATAGCCATAAACCACAATTAAAGCAAACTTAATAACAAAACATAACGACTGACTCTTAACTTTCAAAACTCCTAAAATTAAATGCTAAACTTATGACTTATAAACTATCCATAACTGACAAATTTAAAATCATTAAAAATTAAACTGACTGCTTAATTAAACCCATTAAAAACTAAACTGACATTTAACGTTTATTCTTAACACCATGACCATCCCCTTCCAATTTGCACCTGAAAAGTTAAACAACTTGCAAGCACACAATTTTATATTAAATATATTCTCACATATATTTTGATAATTTAACAATTAAAATATCAAAACAAGAATCAAAATTCAAAATTTCCTAACTTTCTCCAAATGGCCAAATCATGAATCTTTATACATAATTCAAATCTTTGTTAATTCTTTCTCGAAGAACACAAAAATTAAATCATACATATAACTATAATCTCATTATGGCCGAACCATACATGCTCATTTATTAGAAATTTTATCACAAATTTTTTTAACAATTCAAACAAAATCAAGAACCCTTCTTTTATACATGTAGTCGAGATATGCCATAAGATCACGGAGAAAACAAGGCATTTGAATATTCACATCATGGCCAAATCATATTCCTTTCCAAAAAATGTTTCTTTTGAAAACTTTCACAAAGAATCATAAAGAAACCAAACCATGAGTACACGTAGATATATGAACATCATAATCATATTAATCAAATTCATGAAAGAACAATCTTTGACATTTTATATATGCAAAGAATCAATCTTTAACATCTTTAAAGAATTTTTGACCGTGAAGAATAAATGTTTACAAACAAAGTACCATCACCCGTCTATGGTAAAGCAATCGAGCTCTGATACCACTTGAAAGAAAGAGCCTTGAAGGCCGTAGGCATGTGAGGATGAAAACAAAATTTTTCAGAGCGGAAACACACATACCAATCAAGATACATACGCTAGGACAGAGAGATACCTTGTTCGTAACTCAAAACTCGAAGGTGATCAGTGTTAGGCTTGAAGGTTCAAACCCTCTAATGTTGATCCACAGCACCCTTTGTCAAGATGCAAGAACTCTTCTTGAAAAGCCACCAATTCGAACACCACAAAGAAGCAAGCTAGGCGTCCCTTGTGAAGAGGTAGGAAGCTCGGTTTTATTATGTTTAGATGAGAGAATTTTCAGCCATAAAACTCACATAGATTAGCGCACAAATTGTAGAAGAGAATGGCCTTTTTATTTTCCAAAAACCCTAAGGAGAATATCACAAAAGGAAAGACTTAAGGAGATGAAAGAGGAATAAATTTGAATCAGATTTTTCACCAAAAGTCTGATCATGGAACGCCCTTTTTGTGGAGGAAAGAGTGAAGTTGTTGCAAATCAAATCTAGTCAACAAACTCCTATCCTATCATCTTAAAACTAAGTCTGCACCTAGCCAATATTCTGACCTAATAACCATTATATGATCAGCCATATTATGCGCCCCAATCAGCCCAAAATCATTCCAAAAATATTGATTAGTTGCAATTCAAATTAATACAACTAAATCAAATATTTTCACAACCAACCAAATCTGAATAGAGCTTGATTTGCTGATTAAATGACCATCATTAAGCCACCAAATCAGCGCCCCAATCATCACTGATGATGTCCAAAGATCTCCTCTTGATACTTGGGATTTGATCTTGACAAGATACTATCAAGATCTTATCCTTTCCTTTTGTTATGAAACTTCCTTTCATAGCCAATTCAAATTTGAACATTCTAATTTAAGTATTCAAATATTTAAATTCCTAATTCAAATTCATAATTTAAATTTTAAATTTAAACATTAGATAATTAATTTAACTAATTAAATTAATTAATAATATCTTGGACCATCCAAGCCCATTACAACAATCTATGCGCCTTTTTCCCTCTAAGGTGGGCATCCAAGCTTCTTCTTGGGCTAACAACCATTATTAGGCCCAAAACCTTTAATGCTATAATGTCAAGACAATAAGGTGTTTGTGTGTGACCCATTAGGCCCAACTTAGCTACTGACATAAATGGGTTTGGGCCCAATAAGACCACAACCCATTTAATGACAACACAGAGCACTAGCAATGCTTTGTTGCCCTAGAGCTAGTTAGGTTAATGATATGATCATCCTATTAAATGTATTTGGCTACCGAATGTATTTCCTTTCGTCTCAGTTACCTTCCCATTAAACCTAGGGTGAGGAGATGTATCAACCCTTGCGGTTTAGGGTAAGCTTTAATTCGAAATAGGGAATCTTCAATTTACTGACTCTAAAGGCAGATCATCTCTTGATCCCTTTTACTATGCATAGATTCCCGAGTCCCGTAAATGTCATCCCGATTTCTCCAGTTTACAGATAACCTAATCCCTCACAGAGATTTGACGAATTCCTTCAGCTTATCACCCTAGGCTTGTGTTCTTTCAAGACATGCCCAAATGTATACCTATGAATCTCCATGTTTCAGGCAGACGAGGTATACAATCAAAACATGCATCTAGAACATAGTCTAGGTGAAAACTTTTGGCCTAAGGAAAGGCATACCCAAATAATAAAAAGCTGCTCTGATGATACTATTTGTGAGATTTCCTCATAGAGCCTCTTTGTGGGTCTGTTCAGTGCGAGCTATACCCTTATAGGTCCACTCACGACTTTAGCTAAAACATCTCCATATCTGTAGCTCACGAGGTCTTTACCTTGTATCTGAATACAAGTAGATAAGCCGTGCTAGTCTTACCCGAGATTACTGATTCCCATTCTCAGTGTCTCTAGACTAGGAACATAAAATTAGGAATAAACATCCGGTATCCTCGAATCCTCATGATCGTGATCTCTTCACAGATACTCAAGAGATACTCATTCTATTCCAAGGGGTTTATCCAGTTACTCATATAATATATAAACAATGATATTGAGACAAAATATGAAACAAGATAAAGAGTGCTTATTATTTATTTGCGGCAATATAAAAGGTATACAAATGTCCTAATCTAATCAAAAGATTGTCTCTAGGACATCCATATACTAACAACAGTTATAGAATTGATTGCAAATCTGTTAGGGATTCGTTGGAGGATTCGATAAAGGATATGGCTTCAATGGTTATAAAAAGGGAGCTGAGGGACAGACCAAACACCAATTCACAAATCCAGAAAATTACATAGAGACCTGAAGGTGGAATCCTGTTGCGGAGCCCTGGAACACTGAGGAACCAAGTCAACATCACACCAAGGAGGCTTAGGGTTATCTTTTATTTATTATTGTTTTTGAATTCAGTATGCTAGGCTAAACTTTAATGCTTTCTATGAGTTTGCTCCTTATAGAATGATTTAGGGGAATTGTATGACAATAGGGATGTTGGTGCATGAACCCTGACTTGGTAAATTTATCATAATTCTTGTGATCTACGGATAGACATAGGGTAATTGTGCAATCTTGAAATTCTTGATCTTAATGCATGTTTTCTTGGGGAATAATCGGGAAACTAGATGTGACATCCCGTATAATTAGGAATTTCTATAAATTATAATTAAGAGTGGGTATCATACTTGAAATTCGAATTAAATTTATGTGTAGAGTGGGATTAATTTAAGTGGGAAAATTATTTTGTGTTTATCATAGGCGAGCATATGTGAAGATTTTAAAAGATTCATGACACTGGTAAAAAGGGGTAGAATTACAATTAATTATAATATAAGTAGGAATTCTAATTAATACCTATTGGGAACATGAATTAATAATTAATATATATATATATATATATATATATATATATATATATATATATATATATTGTGATAAGTGAACCTTGCAGGAAATAATAATTATTAAGAAAATATTTAAAGTGCAACATACAATGAAATCCTAGATAATATTTAGTGACTACTTAGTAGATACATGAAATAATAACTATTAGTGGGTTACATGAGAGAAGTGATTCATTAGAAGATTAAATTGGGACTCATTAATACATCAAGGCTACGGCCCAACCTCTCTTAGAGGGCTCTAATCAGCCCAAAAGCTTTACCTCTAGCCTTTAGTTAATCTCAGTGTAAAAATGAAATCTGAATGGGTAATTCCCATTGGTCAAGACGTGACAGGTGGCCATCTACAGCTATCCTTATCCTTCTCTTCCATGCGCATTAGGTGGAGACAAAGCCAGTTGACTGCTGGTCATTGTATTTCTAAACCAAGTCAGTCTTAATCCCTCTGAATTCCCTCCTTAGGCGCAAGTTCAGGGAACTACAAAGCTGAAGTTGTAGTCTTTCATTTGGAGTCAAACTCAGTCCCTTCCCCTCTCAAACCGTAAGCCCACAAAGAAGAACATCAAGGAGGAATAGACTTGCATCTTCCTCTGTTCGGCTGGGTGAAGGTTTCTGTTTGCATGCAGCCTGGAACCAACACTTATTTCCACTCTTCCTTGCCTAACCAGCCGAAGACACATACCCAAGGAGTCACAAGCTCGATTTCTTGGAGTGGTGCAGTGGGAGGCTGCTGCTTGAATTGTAGCGCTAACCTTGCTGTAGTCTTGGAGGTAAGGTTGAGTTTCAAGCGTTCTTTCTCTTCCCTGTTTGTTCAGTCTGCCTTATTACCAAGGAATATGAGTTTTTTTTTGTCGTTCTTTCCTCACTGGTTACTTGCGGCTGCTGCAGGAAATTAAGGGAGTCATGTGCATCATTTTATTCCCTGCTTCTACATAATGGATTATCTTAGAATTGAATAATCACAAGTAGATGTAAGTCACTTGTCAAACCTTTATGGACAGCATGTTGAGGGCATCATTGGCGCACCCTAGCCTTGAAGAAAAGAATAAATATAATTGAAAATATTAGGTCACTAGTTAATGACCTTAGGAACTGAATCTGAATGCTAATGAAACTTCAGATTTTCGCTGTTTAGAAGTGGATAATTTAATATGAAGTCAGAAAACTTAATTAGTAATGGAACCATGAAATCGGATGTGAACAAATGACTAGGAAAAATGGAAACACTATGTGATGTATAGGAAAAATACGACGTATAATTCTGATTTGGTATGTTCTTGCTTAGGTGCGCATAACTCTTGAGTGGAGGTTGTATTGCGGCTGTTTGGAAATATTTGTGACAAGAGAGGTAAGTGTCGGGTGGCATTACCTTCTGTGTCTACTAGCTAGTCTATGGAATTATGAATTGTTGCACTCATGCTTTGGATATGGATTCTGTATACGATATTCGTATTCTGTTCATGGATAAAATATGCTGGATTTGTGGAGAATAATTGTTATACAGCATTCTGATATTTGAATCCATGAGATATATGTATCTTGATTATTATCTAGTCATGCATACACATTCATGATTTTTAACTGTATGTTCGTGTGTGATCCATGACATAGCATACATGCATGAGTTTCATGTTGACATCTGAAAATAATTATGAGAACTATGCATACGTTTGAGCATGCATCATGTAGGCATCCTTTCGGTACCAGGGTATGGGACACTTGGCTTCCGTCCGCATAGGTCACAGTTGGAATCCTTCTGTTGGAGCCACCCAGGAATATCCACTGTGTCTGTTAGTGATACATGCACCGTAGTGCTATGAACGTACACTTCTGGCGTTATATACGCAATATGATCAGTACTCTTGGCGTTATATACGCAATATTATCAGTACTTCTGGCGTTATATACACAATATGATTATGATTGGTATTTGACGGATTCGAACTGATGATGTGACTGTTTTGTAATTCTGTATTTAGTTAGTACTGTTGCATTACTGGTTTTGTTGCCACACTACTGGGATTTTTCTCACCCCTTTGGGGCTGCTATTTTTACAAAATGGCAGGAGGACGAAAGAGCATATGAAGACATGATTATATGGATATCTACTGTTATGTGTTGTTGTCTGGACTTTTGCTGTTTATTTGTTGGATGACTGTATTAAGCTGAATAGTTTGGATTATTGTTGGATTATGATTTTATTGCTGTTTTAAGACTTTTATGATCAGCAAATATTTTGGAAACAAATTCTATAAACTTTTTGCGAAAATAATTTCTGACGTTTTATTTAAGTGTTGGTTTTAAACAGTCTTGCGAGCACTTTGCGAGTTATATTTAGTGGGGCTACAGACCTCTGATTCGCTTATATTTTATATGCACGGAAGCCCCACGTGCCTATTTTTAGATTATGTAAACATTACAATGGAATTTGGAAAACTGGATTTTACACGAATTTTGCAAGACAGCAACGTCTACCAGGAAAATGATATTTTCATTAATTAAAATATGTCGAAAGAACTCTAATTCCGCTTAGCAAACAAACTCTCTTGGATGCATACAAGGGAGGGTGTTACACTAATTGGTATCAGAGCAGTTTTGATTCAAGGTGTCTGTGTTTGATGAAATAAATGTGTTTGTACTTGGTTGATGAATGGTCATTGTTTGAATTTCTTGATTAAATGTATATGTTCGTTGCATTGTTGCTGTTTGGACTTAGCTGTGAATGGGTTACTGGTTAAAATTACCTGATATTTGGAGGTGATGATACTGGTAGTACACCGTATTAAGCATGGCTGTGCCAATTCCCTTGCTAGGTGGTGAGCCTGATCAACTCACTGTCGCGCAAGATGTGTGTGCACAATCATGGTTATCACAGGATATACTTGTGTCGGAACACCGTGTGTGAAATACTAAATTGCTACTTGCATTAATAGTTAAATGTCAATTCTGTTCTCTATGAATTATATAGAAGGTTATATTCATGTCTATGTTTGAGATAATGTTCAATGAGTGATGCCTTGAGCCGTACAGAATCATTGCTGTTACATATTTGCCTTAGTAATCTGTGACATTTTCTTGTATGTTGTGATTGTGCTATATCGCTGTATAATAAAAGTAGTAGTTCTTTTCACTAATTCCGTTAGGTTCCATAACCGAGTAAGGGTAGCAGTAAAAGAAGATGGATAATTTATGTAGTTAACTAGCAGTCAGGAAAACTTATTTCTTACCCTTAAAACTGTGTGGGAACGAGCTGTGTGTGGGGATAGATTACACAAAGTTAATACCCTATGAAGAATAATTGGGGTTAAGTGAGACTCCAACCTGTGGACCCTAAGCCTGTACAAATTTTCTAATGGTGAATTGGCACTAGACATCATTCTTGAGAAAGAAGCTGTAAAACAAAGTGGTGATGTGTGGAGGAGGGTACTTGACTCCCACCTCCTGTCCTTTATGAGAGTGATACTTGTCATTTTAGTTCATACGTGTTGGATTGCTGGTATGATTTTAACCACTTTTAGATTTGCATATAGTTTATGGTCTCTGAGTATAATAACAGTGTTTATATGAATTTGTCGGTCTAGATTTTTAACATTATATTGGAACTGAATGCACCATTAAAGAAAGGTTATCTGAATTGAATTTAGAATATAGTGGACTGAACAGGTAAATGGCAAATTACATGGAACTGCACCTTATTTGGTATGTTTTATTATGTTGACTAATTGACACTTTGCTAAAATTAATATTCAAGCATCAGAAGGTTCTAACTGGTTACTTTAATGTTTGTCTAACCGTGTATGGATATGGAAAATCTGCACTAATGATACAATGTGATTAAATAGAGAGGTTGAAAATTGACTGTTTAATTGCTTTGACTGTTATGAGCTTATACCGGTTAGTTTCTTTTAATTGTGGCTCGAAAATTTGATATCTGTTGGGACTTGGGACTTTAGGTTTGGTCTATTTTACGAATGCTATTATATTAATTTGGTCACATGAAATACTCATTAAAACTGCATGATCCAATCTTCCTATAGAGTGACTTAAAACTGAAATTGTTGAGCACTGTGATTCTATTTTAAATTGTGAGTATTTATACAGCTGAAATTTTGATAGCATGAGTATCCCAAATTTTTAAATATTGCAAGTCTATTAACAATGCAAACCGATTTTATTTAAGTTCATTTTTGAAGTAAGCAAATCCATTAAATATTTAATGTTTACTGATTGCCAACGTTCATAAACTTTGGTAGCTTCTCCCATGAATTTTTTTATCGAAGTGTATGTAAAAGCCATTGGTGTTGAACATGTTGAACATTGCTTGTATTGACGACATAATATACCTTTATTTTACTTATTTTCGAAAGAAGATGATGGTGGCTGTTATTTTCAGTAATGGGAGTTGTAGGTGAATTTGGATAACTAAATCTGTGTTGTTGTAATCTCTCTAGTCTAGTGGTGCCATAAAGAAATGATTAATCAAATCAGCATGTGTGTATTTTTATGACATATTTTTAGCATCAAAATCAAGAAAAAGATGTTCTTCACTTTACACTTGAACTATTTTGCAATCGTGACCCTGCTATCATGAAAATAACACTGTTAGAAATGACCGACAGAGATGAGTAGATATAGCAGGTTAAAAAGAAAAACTATCTATATATATATATATATACATTTTGCCATGAGCATTAATCCTTAAATTGCATCTGTCCCTTGCATGATTTGATTGAACTATTAATGGGAAACAGCGGATCTATAAATTTTGTTTTATGTTAAAGATTGGGATAAACTATTATCTGATTTAATTGCATGTGAGTTCAAACTTCTAGGTATAGATTAATATGAATATTTTTTCCTTCTAACCTGTTTGTTGGGAACTGTTAATTATTTTGATATGCTACTAGAGATGGTAATAATTAGGAACTCTCTTGTTATACTTGCATAGTTCTTTGGACGTTTAACCTAAGAGCTGATTATGTGATTTAAAAGTTGAACTTAACGTGAACACCCTAATGTTGTTTAATTGCTGTCTAATCAATATAATCTTTAATCTGTGAATTAAATGCGCTGCTGTAAATTCCATGTTTTAAAAGTTTGATATTTGTTTTGGGTACATCATGCTTAGTTATTGTTATCTCTAAAATGTTACTATCGAATAGATGTAATGCTGCTTGTATGGATGAAAATAGCCAAATGTTTGAGGAACTTTGGATTTGGTGCTTTTCATGCATGAGGTCTCATACCATAAATTTTATTTGTCTCTTGAATGCAAGTTTAACTACATTTAGGAACTTTGAATACGATTCTTGTGAACATGGATTGTGAATGCTTGGTCTGTTTTGATGGGTTATGTTTGATAGTGTTTCAAGATTGTAAAATGTGTCAATGGTTGGAAAGTTCATATCATGGTCAATGGATCCTCTGATCAGTGAAGTCAATTACATCTGAGGTACCTAGGACATCAGAAAGCTCGAGGAAGTTTTCCTCATGAGGGTGTTTTGATGAACTGTGTTAGGGGTACCACTCGCCATGATATGAATAAAAAGTAGAAGAGAAGTTTTGTGATTTTTAGGAAATTTCTCTCACTGAAAAGTTGGAGTGTAATGTGTGTTGTTTTACTGCTTGACTTTCTGAAGGTTTATAGGTATAGAATTCTAGTTTTGATACTACTGAGTAAAGTAATTAATGTAAAATTCTAAATATTATGTGAATGTGGGATGTGTTTAGTGGGTGAACTGAGTTGTTGTCATTGATAAGAATTAAGTTAGGAAGTAATGGCACTACTAAATTGTAACATGTACATTGCAAAGACGAAACAGTTGTAAATTGAGGTTCTGGTTAAATAGCTTTATATTCTGCGCAGGGAATAGGTGATAATATTACGTAGTATTAGATGGGACCGTACAGTATACGAAACCTCCTCATTTAAGCTATTAGTTGCTAATTGCATTGTTATGTGAAAACTTTAAATTTATGATTAGTGAGTAGTAGTATGGGGTGACGTCAGGGGTTAGTGATGATATAGAAATTTTGAGAAGCCCTCTGCTTATTGTCATGTTTTACTTCATAGGTTATAGTTTGGAATTGGGTGAATAAAAGTTTAATCCTATATACCTACACTAGTAGTAATTGTTAAAGTTTATAAAGTAAAGAAGTGTTTTGCAAATGGATTTGTGTAGTTTTCTATTAATTATGCACTAACACCCTGAGCTCTATTACAGTTTTTTTTATAGCTGGAGTTTCTTGGTTTAGTAAGATTTTGTCCGTTTATTCCACTGGTGTGTTATGGTAGTTGTTGATGTTTAAAAAGAACTCAGGAAATTGCTCGTATCATGATTAAGCTTA